CTTTTAATGACCCAATAGCCATTTAATATATTAGTCATCAAATTAATCCCAACACTAATTGATTGGATCATTAATGTAATTTCCCTTGTCTTCCCCAACTCTTCTCTAACTAATCAGAAAGGAAAGTTGTCATATTTTCTCAGAATTTAACTTCTACTCTCAAACCATACCTAAGTAGTTGAGTATGAGAAAATGAATCAGCACAGGCAGCTCAGAACACTCATACCATAGAGAACTGAATGGTTGTACGTGGAAATCTACTGCATTAAAAATTTTTTAAAATATATACATATGGAAAAGATGGACTATTCAGAGTACCAACAGTAAAGGAAGCAGAATCCAGCAGTAGATTTTATAAGTTAGTTGCCCAGAGGCTAGAAGAACTAGACAAATGTTCTCACAATATTAGTACTTTTCATATAATAGTAATATAGCCATGATTATGAATAAACCACAGGTAGGGAACATACTGTATGCAACAATTTATGACACTCTTCTTTACTGAAAGATTCCGCAAGTACAAAAAAGAAAAGAAAAAAAAAAGCAGGCCTAGAATAAAGGCATAATGTATCAGCTGCCTTTGTACACAGCATTCTTTATGATTATACTGTGGCATAATTCAGGACTACTCTTTTCCATTATGTGACCCTAAAAGAGGTCAGCCTATGAGGGCTTAAATGCACTTAACCTACAGGTATATTTGAAGGTCTATTGCTTCAGGGGCTCATTTGATTTCAGATAATATTGGCAAATAAAAAACAAGAAGAAATCACTTAGCTCCACGTAACAAGGAGACTCTTTCCCAAAGCTCATTCTTGAATATTAACACGAAAGGTAGACCTATTGCATTAGGAGTTCAGCAGCACCAAAGCCAAAAAGAAACCAAAAATTATGGAATGAGGGGATGTCTCAAGACACCCCCATTCCTTTTTCTGGTCATTTTCTTCCAAAACACTAGGCATGGTATTTGTACCACCTTCTACATGAAGCTTTTCATGACCCCTTCAACTGCTCCCCTTCCTCCCTAACTACCTTGTATAGATGTACATGTTACTACCTATAAAACGTATAGTATTTACATTCCCAGTGTCTGGTACATGGTAGGCACTTAATAAATGTTTTCTCGATTGAGTGATTTTCTTGATTGAAAGTCACTGCTCAATCCAAATGACTCCACATTATATAATAATTGTTTCCTTCTCCCTAAATTTCTGATATTCAGGACTCTGATGACATGTTAATTCTGTCTTGGTGTTTTTAAATTTTCAAGGTACTCTCCTGGGACACAATTATCCGCAGTCCCATTTTTTGGTTAAGAAAAATATAAAGGAACTCCCCCAACCAAGGCCACCAAGCAAGCTAGTGATAGGCTTGGGAAAAGATTCAAGAATTTCTAACTTCCCGATCCGGTGCTCAGGCTACTCAGTAAAGCTGTCATGAACTGATACAATGGGTCAAAGACAAACCACATGACATATGATGTTAGTCTATATGTGTCCAAAATAAAAAAACGTGACAGGGCTAACGTGTGGACCTAATTTTGAAAATAAAAACAGGAAGCACTCCCACCCCAATATTACCTTTTAAAAAAAAAAGGAAGCCAAACCTCAAAAGATACCTTCCAAGGAAGTCAAGGGTGTGACTTAAACTAACAAAAACAAGAAAATAACATCATAAACCACCAAAAATGAGGGTCTTCTTCATCCAATAAGAAATCCGTATTTACAAAATACTGCTTATAGTTCGTAAGACACCATAGTTGTATACACAATCATCCCCAAATCGCCTTGCTTATTTCAATGGCTAAAAGTCACTGAATACTTGATAAACTACTTCATAAAGACATCTTCTGTTAGTAAAGACAATGTAACTAAAATAGATTTAATTATTTTGGAGGCAATCAGGGTTAAGTGATTTAAATGTTTTAAGTCAAATTTCTTTTTATTATTGTGCTACTTGCTTTTTTACACAAAGCTGATCAGTGGAAACTACATAGGTAAATTTGACTTTCTCATTCCCAGAAACTAGAATGACACTTTTAAATTTCCAATATTGGAAGGGAAATATACCTCTGATTTTCTAAAATAATTTTAAAATTTTCTTTAAACACTAGTAAAGCTGTGGACTAATACAATTTCATAGCATTCCTTTAAAATTACCTTCATTAAGACAAACCAGTTTCTTTTATTCTATAATGTATATAGTTTATCTTCCAAAGATTTCAATAAACTTAAATTGTCAAATAACTTAAACAGTCTTAAATCTTAAAAATATTTTTCTTAAAAACTATTTTCTCAGTATCATTTATAAGAATGATGGTAGTAACCTAATACCTAATAGAGAAAAGGAAAAATAATCTAGATTTTTATTTTGTTCCACTGGTTGTCAGAATTTGCTAGAAACCTGTGAATAATTTTACAAAATATTGACTCTGGGCAGTCAAGCAAGTAAAATGCATAGTGTGTAAAGCAGAATATGAGTTGAGCTTCCTTTAATTCCATCTACAACTTGTAGTTTAAGGCCCTGAACATGCTATTTATCCTGTTATTTCAACATTTTCAGTCCTAAATGAGGACTATCTATTACCTACAGAAACTATAGTCAACCTGCAAAGATTAAAGAGCCACCAAAAAGATGATTAAGGATTCTGAGGGAAAAAATACTATTCAATAAATATAAGCAATCTGAATTTTAATATTAATAAGGACAAAATCCATAAATGCCAAAATAGCAACAAATGTTCTATTACACCACGCTGAACACAGTTCCTGCACATACAAGTAAAATTAAGAGCACATTCTCACAGATAAAATACATTAGGAGTGAGAAGGTAGGGATGAGATGAGAAGTCAGGGGAAGAAAGGAAGTGCTAACCAAAATATTTATGTTGCAAAAGCCCAAACAATGATAACATGCTTCCCCCACCCATACTACACAGTATGAAATTCCCATTTCAAAGAAGGCAATTTTTAAGAGCTTTCTTCTTGGTATAATCCATATCAATATTCTGTTGGCAGAAAGAATATGAATACTGACAATGCAAAAAACAGTGAGAAGCTGGGATAGTTTGTAAAGTTGGCTTAGTAGTGGGGGTTTTTTGTGCAAAGTTTAGCACTAAGTTATGCAATCTCCAAACTGCTGATGATAGAAATCAACCCTTTTTTGGTGTTTTGCTTTAAAAAACAGTTTCTCCTTCCTTTCCTCATATTCTAATATTTACCAAGTATCTAAAGAAATCCCATCTTACAAAAGCTAATGCAAGCAGAATGTAGAAATTTAAACAGATTTATTTAGATTACTAAATCACATCACCTAACCAAAGGTGTTTTTTAATATCATTACCTTTTTCCTCCTTAAAACCAACTGCTACTTCTTCCATCTCACAGTTTGCTTTATGATTTTCAACAACAGCAACAACAAAAACTTCTTCCATAAGATGGAACAATGATTTTGTTTAATAATTTTCTAGTTATTAGAAAAAGCCTGCAGTCTTAATATAAATTATACCAACCGGGCTTCCACAGACTGAAATTATTACAAGCAATCTGGCATCCATGTAATGTTGTAAAATGAAATTAGAAAAACACCTAAGGCTGGCATTGGCTTCTTATCTGTGTCAATAAATGTTAAATAGTGATACATTTGTGGGCATAGCAAATCAGCAAGTAAATACAGAGGCTCTACTATCTAAACTAAATGGCAAAAAACATTATGTGGGATAATCAGACAGCTGAATGCTTACTGTGTTCCAGATGACTATCCAACAGTTTTGGATTTGACTAGATTATGAATACCATTCAGAAACAGCTAATGAATGGGACAGGCCTAATATAATATTTGGAGACATAAAGAAACAGTCACATTGACAATTTCAAAGGATATTCTTTCAAACCATTCCACAGATAGCTGGAGGCGTTTTAAGGTGGACAGAGATCTATCATTTATTATTTTGAAAATCCACTTATCCTGGGACGAAGAATGTCAAAAGCACATGGGGGGGAGGGGCGGAACACGAAAAGGTCTGACAATGGCTGATAGGGAATTGGAACCATTTCAGTGCCCCAAACATCGTAAGGGCTTAATAAATGGTTACTGATTGATTGGCCGATATCATTAATGCTATGTTCCTCCAGACTCTTTTCTCCGCCCCCACCTTCCCAATTATTTCCTTTCCTCCGACGGCCAGCCAGCTACCAAGAGAATGGACATGCCCCCTTAGAAGTTCTCTGCTTTTCGAATCAGCCTAACCATCTTGCCAGATTCACTCTACGTCAGCTTAGCTTTTGTCACATAACGTCTCCTTTCCAGTGACTCCATATCTGCACAGACCCCCCCCGCCCCAAATACCCGCAGCAGGAGCACTTTAGTCCTAGCGTGGGGTGGGAGGTAGGGGGGGAGAAAGAAAGAAAGGAAGAAAAGAATACACCACAACCTACAGCAAGACATCCAAGCCCAGGCCTGGCAGGTTCTGACGTGGGATCTAGACCCCCTCCCCTCCAAAGTGTT